GAACCTAACTTTCTTTAAAAATATATATCCTAAGTATAACTTATTTATCTATCATAGACATCTTTTAAATGTTTGGGTAGAATTACAATCCTAAAAACCTACTTTATAATAATTTAATATTATTAAAAATATAAAAATAAATATGTTAAATTTTATAAAAATCAAGTTTAATTTATTTATGATATAAACATGTTTTTAATATCTAATATATATTTTTAGATGATACTTTATTTTAAAATATATTTTATAATAACAATTCTAAATGAAACATAAATCTTCTGATTTTTCTTATTTTGATTTTTTTAATCAATATATACAATTTTACTATTTTGATTTTTTCAATCAACGTATACAATAAATAAAAAACACAAAAGATAAACATGCATGGTAAAAATTTTATTTTATCAAAAAACTTTTTATTTTAATATATTACATTATATATGTGAATATTAAGACATATATATATATATATATATATATATTATAATTAAACTTTTTTTAAAAAAAATTGATTCATTATTAAAGAATATTCTTTATCACATAAAATAATTAATCTCCTTTAAAAATTTGATAAAATCAAATAAATAAACATTTTCTCCGAATTTATATTTTATACATATGATAATTTAAACATATAATTTTTATTTTTTAAAACATATTATTTTTTAAATAAAAAATTATGTATGTCTGAAATAATAGTGGGAGCAAGTTCCCCAGTCTCCAACAAATGGATCCGTCCCTGACCATACCCATCTAATATGTTTTATATTGAAGCTATGCATGTTTCCATAGTCTATGAATATGTTTCGATGAATTTTTTCAAAAGCATGATTTTACATTGGCAAAATCCACCTAAAGGTTTTTATTTACAATTGTTGAGAATTGAACATATAAAGAGTTAATTCCTATAAATTGATCTAATATCTTTCATGAACAACACCACTAGTGAGATGAAGATAACCCAAGTGAGTTTGATGAAATAATTATATTTCATCTATTTGAAAATTTAACTTTTATCGATATAAATATAATGGTGCAGGTAGATTTCGTGGTATAATCTTCAACAAAAAAAAGTAGGATATATTGTGACTCAGAAGAATTTTCTTGTTCAGATAATATTATTTTTACGAAAAATAATTATGATAAAATAGAAACATAATAAATAATTATGAAAATAAAGTATAATTATTAAAAGTAATTATATAAATAAAAAGGAACGTAGATTGGAATCAAAAAGTATGAGACAGTTTAGGAGGAAATTTTTTTAGTAAGAATAGTACGTGAAATGCATATTTAAAGGAAAGATAAGATATAACATTAAAAAAGTTTAATTGCACATTTTGTTTGGAAGGAAAGTGTATTAGATTAGGATTTTAAAAAGGTTTGGGAAGACATTTTTCTTACAAAAAGATTTTATAAGTTAGCTTACACAAACAACTGCAATAGTGATGAAATACTTGAACCCGTTACATCCTTTCATTATATCTTTCTCCTCAACAAATGAAATGAAATGACACCAGGATTGAATCATAACAATCATGAATGAAAAGGCTATGAATATCCTGCTTGACTAGCATGTGTTTGAAGTCATCCAACCATAGTAGCATATGTAGAACTCAACTTCTCAAGGCTTGACCTTGAATGAGTAAAAAGGATCATTGTGTCTGAATGATCACTGAAGGGACAATGGGCATAAAAGCAATGATATGGGAGATAGCAATGCAAAGTATAATCCCTTTTTGGGTTTTCACTGACATGGCTAGTAAATTGATCAGCCATCAAGAAATCTGGCAGTGTGACACTGACCTAAACTGGTGTTAGATTTCCAAGCAAACCAAGGATGATAAGGATCAAACAACACCAAAGTGTTCTATTGTGAATCATGTTCACACACAAACCAAGGATCTCATAGAAGAGCAGGAACTAATATTGATAGGAAATATTTGTAAATAGATACCTTTAGGTGTGAATCTGTCTTTATAACTGGAGCCCGAAAAAGATCTAATGGATCTGTGGCTGACCAATCTTGATATTTGCCTGTAAAATCCGCCCTAGATTATCAACAAATGATAGAAAAACTGCAGTGAATACTAAAAACACTCGGTATTAGACATGTGTTCATGCAGTGAGACCAAATAGCATAATTTGCTCAATAAACTGTTATTGGATCTTCAAAAAACTTGTGGAAAACAAGGCACTTATCACACTAACAATGACTATTAGATTATACCATAAACCAAATAGATGTTCATGCCAAACAATTTCAGTGAATGAATCATCACCAGTGCACTATCTTTTTTCTTGTTGCAATGCCACTTGCTGGGAAAGTAAACACAACTTCTCCTGTAGCCTAGATTGTACCAATGCTAGAATGAGCGATGGGGACAAAATTCTACCGCATATTTCATGTCTGTGTCATTGCATTTGCCTTGTATAATCATGAAGATAACATCAATTAACAACCTAACAGACAATATATTTTTCAGACTTTACCCCTGCATGTGACTCTTTTGATGGATATACTTCATTATTTCAAAAGCGTATGATCTTCAAGAAAATATTTTTAAGATTGCATTTTTGTTGCTGACAGCGAACTACTAAATTGGGGGAAAAAGTTCAGTGTTCAAGATTTCAATTGTTTTTGCTTGACATGATTGCAAGGAAGATGAAGATAGGAGAATCAAATGTGTGATCAGGGATAAGGATAAAAGACAATAAGAAATAGTGTTCCTTTAGACAGAAACAAAAGCTAGAAACATGATTTTACATTGGCAAAATCCACCTAAAGGTTTTTATTTACAATTGTTGAGAATTGAACATATAAAGAGTTAATTCCTATAAATTGATCTAATATCTTTCATGAACAACACCACTAGTGAGATGTATGTTAGATTTGACACCCTTAATTGTTGTGTCTGTAGTATAATCCTCAAAGGCTCGAGTTAGGTTAGACTAAATTTTATTATAATTTAGTAGGTTTGAACTTAACTTTTTTTAAAAATATATATTCTCAGTATGACTTATTTATCTATAAGACATTTTTTAAATGTTTGGATACAATCCTAAAGACCTATTTTATAAGAATTTAATACTATTCAAAATATAAAAATAAATATGTTAAATTTTATAAAAATCAAGTTTAATTTATTTATGATATAAACATGTTTTTAATATCTAATATATATTTTTAGATGATAATTTATTTTAAAATATATTTTATAATAACAATTCTAAATGAAACATAAATCTTCCGATATTTCTTATTTTGATTTTTTTTAATCAACATATACAATTTTA